GGCTTCTGTTTGTGGCAAGTAGACCAGCTCCATGTGTGGTAACTGGATATCCTGTGTGGGTTGCTGCCTTGGCACTGGGGGTATTGAGAAAGGAGAAACACAGTGCTGCTTCTCCTTCCCTGGACAGGGGCTTGGTGTAGTTTGCCCAGTATGAATACAGTAGCGGCTACGCTCTTCCCATCAGCCCACCAGCAAGAGCAAGACCAATGTGTGCTGAATGACTGAAAAGGTACCAGACACTATGGTCTTGAACTTAAACGAGAACAAGAAACCTCAGTTGAACCCAGGGCTCTCAGATCAGAAGCATCGGCAGGTGACAGTCCATGTCTAAACTGTACCTGGACCTTAGAAATGGTGGCCACCAGAGACGCTCTCCAAATGGAAGGCAGATTGTGTTAGGAGGCAGCTTATCCCTCCCTCCCCCTCCCAGCTGAATTTAACATCCTCCACTTCCATCCTAACTGCCTTTCAAGGTTGCTGTGAGGGCTAGGGACAATGTACACAAAGCTCTTAGCACAGAGCCAGGCACACGGTAAGTGGGCGTCTGCATCGAGGGGTCTGCAAAGAGGTGGTGGGGGAACAGTGTGTTCAGAAACCTGTGAGACACCCCAGGGCACGCTAAGACAGTGAATGAGACTGGGCATGGTGGTGTGCACCAGTAATCCCAGCTCTTGGGAGGCTGTAAACAGGCAGATCACGAGTCCGATCTAGTAGTGAACCCCTGAACACCCTGTAGACCATTCCCTAAAAAAAATACAGAGAGAGAGAGAGAGAGACCTGTGAGAGTCAGGTACAGATGTCCTCCATGGGCAGGGCTAGCGCAGGCCAGGGAGAGCCTCACACAGGATCGGACCCTGGAGCACGGCTGAGCCACAGTGCAGCACTGCCCAGTTTCCAAGGTTGCCAACTCTGTCTCTTGCCCGAACCCCCACCCTACAGCTGCAGTAGGAAGTCCTAAGGGTGGCGTAGAGCACAGGCAGCCAACACCTGCTCCACTGGCCCTGTGCAGCCACCTCAGGCTCTGTGGGGGCCACAAGTGGGCCAGGAGCGTGAGGCCCTGCAAGCTCTGCCTGCTCCAGCACACTCCAGTCCCTCTCGTAGCTCTTCTGTGAGCCAGCTGCACTTAGCAATCTATGGTTCAACATGGGGGATGGGACCTAGTCATTACTGAAATATTTAACTGCAAATGCATCCATGTTTTAAGTATGCTACACTCTGTGTTCCTATTATGGCTGATGATCCGGCCTCACTCTCCTTTATAACAGGCCCTTTCCCTAAAGGATTGGCCCCTCTTCTGCTGCTGATACTGTTGTACATCACTTGTGTCCATTTTCCACGTCTGTGTCCCCCACAAGCCTAGAGGTTACTAGGGCCTGGAGCTGTATGTGAGGATCCTTGTGCCTGGCTTAGAACAAATAAATGTTAATAAATATTCATTGGACAAATGAGTGGATAAAGACCAGTGAGTAGCTAGCTGCTCAGCTCTGACAATTCAGAGATGAAAGCTTTATTTCTGTCCTCAAGGAGCTCATTTTAGAGAACAAAGAATTAATTAAAAAGAACAATGACCCATGATGGGCCAGGGCCCAGTGTATCATATGCCCTCAGCAGGAGGGTACTGACCCTGCAGGAGAGGGAAGTAGGGGGCCTGCAGGTCTTTCTAGTTAACACACTGTCAGCCACATAGAAGGGGGACACAGAGCTGGAGTGCCACCAGGTCCTTCTGAGAAATGGTAGGAGTGGCCAACACATGGCACTGGCTAGGAGTCCACATAGCTGGGGCAAAGGAGATGATATCAGCCGAAGTGTAGGAGTGTGGCAAAGGACACAGGGAGAACGGGTCATTCCTGCCACCTCCTAGGGACGCTGACATGAGCCTGGAGCAACTAGGTTTGTCGGCATGACAGCACGTGCACACTAGTGAGTACAGGTAGACCTGCTCGGGAGAGGGTGTGAGGGGCTGGGAGGCTGGAGCTGCCAGAGCTGTTGGGCTTTCAGGCTGCAGAGGGGCTTAGGAGGTCACCTGTGAGTACCTAGCCAGTGCACGTAAGGGGAAGCAGGGGCATAGAGATGCCACCGGGTTTCTGCCCTGGCTGAGTAGGCAGTTGACCCTGCCTGCATGCAGGAGGATGGACCAGTGTGGAAAAGCAGGATGCTGGCTTCCCATTGTCTCCTGTGAGCCTAGGAGGCTGAGAAATCTGTAGTTTTGGTTTCTCAAGAGCCACAGCATTCCTGGGTTTAGGAGAGAGGTTCAGACAAGAAAAATGAAAGTCATACCCAGCCAAAAGGCGCTATCGAGAACCACAGGGGGAGATAAGATCTCACGAGGAGGCTGAGTGAGAAGGTGAGCCCAGCATACATAACATTTCTGAGGAAGAGGTGGAGTCTGAATCTCCAGGCAGAAAGAGAAGGTCACACTGCCCTTGGCTCTGGGAAGAGAGAGCTTCAGAGGGGGACAGTGATCCTCAGAGGCAAATCTTGCAAATGGGCAAATAAGGAAAGGACCTGGAAAGATTCATTTGTAGCCAGATTTTTGCAGCCTGTGTCAGCTGGTAAGTACCAGTGAAATCACATGATAATAATAGCAGAGATTTCCCATAGAAAACTAGCTTGCTGCCAACCATTTGGACAACAAAAATGCCTCTCAAAAAGTTTCCTCCCATCCCACTAAGCACTTTGGGAAAGACCTGGGTGTGTTCTCCCTTGGGCTCTTCCACACACACACAAATGCATCTGGCCCACAAGCCAACGTGGCAGAGGACTCTGAGGGGCCACCTTCTCTTTGCCACCTCGTCTGTCTCCCATGTCTCACAAAAACTGTGTCTTATGTCCATCTGTCCTATGGCTTCAGACACCAGTCCCTGGGTCGAGCTGTGGGGTAGACAGTAGATCCCCCTGCATCCTCTGCCCAAGATGGCCCAGTTCCCCAGAGACCCTCTGCTAGGTGGGGGAGGTTCGCCCCAGCTAGACTTCTGGGCTAGACTCCAAAAGCTACCCTAGCTGCAAGGTGCTCTGCTAATAGAGGGGTTTCAACTGCGGAGTCACACTGTGAGTAGCTCAGGCACAATGAAATGAGGAAGTGGCAACAACAGAGCAGGGCTTGTGAAGGGGAGAGGCCGGAAAGCAAGGCATAGGAAGTAGTGGTGGTGGTTTTTTGACATGGGAGAGATTTACGCAGTTATGTTCTGAGGAAAAAGCTGGCAGGAAGGGAGAAACCATAGCAGACAAGGAGGAGAAAGACAGACTGAGGGAAAAGCCAGGCACAGGCTTCTTGCCTGAGTTTGAGATAGAGAGGAGAAAGTGTCTCACCATGATCTTTTCTGAGGTAAAACTTTGGGTCTGGGGCTGGGGAGATGGCTCAGTAGAATAAGCGCGTCCCTGACAAGCGCAAGGGCCTGAGTTCACTCCCTGGTTCCAGAAAAAAACAAAAAACAAAAAAACAAAACTTTGGGTCTGAAGTCTCAAGGCCTGACACAGATATATTTCCTGTAACCTCACAGCCAGGCCATAGTGTTGTGGAAGGAGTTCTCTCGCCCCAGAAACTGAGCTCATTTTGCCAGTTTTATTCACATAACTAGAGTCAGAAAGCTGTCCCTTCAAAATAGCTGTTTCTGGGAGTCTATTTTCTTCTCTGCTCTCCCACAAATTCTTGGAAATCCACCAACACGACAGTGGTGGCCTCTGGCCCTGGCCCTGGCTCTGCCTTTATGAAGTTACAATACAGTAAGCCCCCAACTGAGGAACCAGCTCCACCCCAGGAGAATTGTTCATTTGGCGGATTCATTTGTAAGCAAAGGACAAAATGAGCCTTACACAGCACACCTGTGAAAACTCCCAGCTTCAGTGTTCTCAGGACTTGCTGTACTCTGGTTTCCACGCAACATTTTGAGGAGGGGGCAGATGCTGACTTTTCTTTAATTTGTTCATCTAACGTAGCACACACTGGGGGGAGTCTGAAGGAGACAGGAGTAGAAGGCTTTTGCTCTGCTTGGTAGGGAGGACAGCCGCCCTGGAGAAGAGCAGGTTTTCTGGTGCTGAGCCCCTGCCTCTGTCTTCTAACATGAGGAACACAGCACCCTGGGCCACTCAAGAGCAGTGAAAACTGCTAGGCATGAAGGCACATGTCTGCAATCCCAGCACTCAGGAGACTGAGACAGGAGGGTCCTTGCAAGTCTGAGACCACCCTGGGCTCCAAAGTGAACTCAAGGCCAGCCTGAGTTGCATAGTGAGAGATCCCGTCTCAAAAGGACACAAAAACAAAACAAACCAAAAAACCCAGTGAAAATTGAATGCTACAGAGTCAGAAGAAAATCCTCAATCTGTCTGAAGCCCCAGCGGTGTCTGAATTTGCCCACACACTGGATGGCTGCTGAAGATGCTGACAGGGTAGGCAGGAGTCTCCAGGGAAGATCCCACCAAGAGGCCACGTTGGGAGCCCACAGCCTGCGCTGTGGTGGCCCTAGGGAATGCTGAGCTCAGTATTGCTGGACCTCTCTTTTCAAAGAGAAGTTGCAAGTCCAGATGCTTGTGTGCAATCTTCAAATATTTTAGATGCTGAGCACTGACGCTATGCTGGTCATCCTGACCCTGGGCACCCACTGCTGGAGCCAAGCAGAGCACCCTGGGTGGCCAAGTGACCCTCTCAATCCCAATTTCCCTACAGAGGTGCTAAAGCTTTTGCTTTCCTGAATAATTGTGTTTATATTTGAAAAACCAACTTTGTCTCTAAGAAAGAAGAAACAAAGGACTGGCCTCCTCCCGGCAGCTGGTCTGTGCTTCCCCAGAAGGTGGCTGACCTCGGATCTCTGCCAAGAGCAGGCACGCTGGGTGGTCTGAGGACAAGAGCCACACGCACATAGCTACCAAAAAAATAGCCAGCTGTGCTTTTATAGGCACTGTAAGAAGGGAATGCCACCCACCTGCAGCGACTTGGGGCTGTCTCTTTAAAACTCAAACACTCCCAGGCAAACCCCTCCTCCTGGGAGGTTCCTTAGCAGATAGCAGGCAGCTGGCGTGGTTTAGTTCAGACTCAGAGCTGTACCTGCCACTGGAGGTTCCTCTGAGGAGACTGCAGCTGTCAGCATGGCTCAAGCATTTGTGAATGGCAAAATCCAGCCGGGGAAGGTGGTTGTGTTCATCAAACCCACCTGCCCCTACTGCAGAAAGACCCAAGAGATCCTCAGTCAACTGCCCTTCAAAGAAGGGCTTCTAGAATTCGTGGATATTACTGCCACCAGCAACACAAATGAGATTCAAGATTATTTGCAACAGCTGACAGGCGCCAGAACGGTGAGCCGGGGCTTTGAAAAGGATCCTTCCTGGGTTTTCTCCCCCTCAGCACTGTGAACGAATGTGTCTGTGCTTTTCTAGGACACGGCCAGCGCTCTGTCCTTCGGGGCTTCCAGAGGGCTTTCAGGGTGTGGGGGAGGGCGCCCTGGAGAAGACATGGGTGACATGAGTGAGCAGCCAGGGTCCTCCCTGGGCTGAGGAGGGAGATTGGCTGACGTGTGCCCGGCGGTCAGTGGGCCCAGCCCCTGGCCGGAGCCACCCAGCCGCATCTGAAGGCTTTGTTTAAGCCCTGCCAGGAACTGACAGCTTTCAGCGTGCAGGGCTGGGAGCAGGCACATTTCTGCCTGCAGCGTGGACCCAGGCGGGCTTCCTTGTGTTTTCTCCTGGCCCAGGGATCTGCCGCCCTTCAGTCTTTCTCTGGGCTTTCTTAGCCCTAATCTTCCTTGCTCATTCTTATCTACTCCTCCAGTGGAAAAATCCAATTCTCCACTCTATTTGTTCCTTGTTTTCAACTAATGGCGGGACTTCTGAAGTGGGCCAGACTTCCGGCCATGTTCTCACAATGGCTTGCCTTGTGATCCTGAGCAAGTCACACACTCTGGGGTCCTCAAACACGCCAGCTGCAAGGCCACAGGCAGTGACCAGAAAGTCCCCCTTGTGACAAGCACGCTATGGGACTGAGTTCCTAGGCTTCCTGTGGGATCCTGTTGCTTGAGGTGAGGACGAGGTGTACCCCAGTTCACCTAAGTCATTTTCAGGACACAATGCCAGTAGAAGGAAGTGTCCTCTCTGTGTGGGTTTGAGTTGCCAGATTTTCTCTGGGTTCTGAGTGTACAGAACCTTCTTTCCAACCAAACAGCAGCAACCGAATGCAGAAAAAGATGAATTCTGTCACTCTGTTGCTCTGAGTAGAGGTCCTGGAGCAGAGACCAATGACACACCCTTTGGCCCTACTGCTGTGAATCTTCCCTGGGCAGTGTTTCTCACACTCTGCAGGTGAACAGAGTCACCTGGGGAATTTTTCTGCTCAAGTCATAGCCCAGGTTAGTTACCTAACAGGGTCAGAGTCCCTTGAGGCCAGGCATCAGTGGTTTGAAAAGCCTTTAGGTGATTTCAATTTGCATCCATTTGGGAATGATGGGTCTTAGCAGCTTCTGTTCGCAATCAGAAAAAGTTTCTTCATTACTGACCTTTTTGTTTCCATTTTCTTTTAAATAAACTCTATTTTTGCAGCAGTATGTTAAGTTTATTTTGAGAAATAGTGTTCACAGTAAAGGCCGGAAAGCATCCCCTTCGGCGCTTGACTTGTCCTGCAACATTACAGGGTTTATGGACAGAAAACGTGAGACCAGTTGTTGCCCTAGTTACCCTGGAGTGACCTGGGCTGCGCATGGAAGGCAGGATGCCACTGGTGGTGGAAACTTAGGCTTCGGTCAGGAGAGCTTGGTGCTGCCTGTTGGGTGAGGGTTGGGGTTCAGCTTTATGGTTAGGGCCCCCGATGGCACCCTAGATTTACCCCTCCTGTAGCTTTCTTTCTTCTTTCCAAGAGGAGTCTCTGGTCCATAACATCTTTGTTCTTCCAGAAGAACATCTCTGAATACTATTTGCAAGGCAGGTCTATTGGCAACAGATTCTCTGTTTTTCTTGGGCTGAAAAAAAAAAAAACCCTTAGTTTTTCTTTGCATAAAGGATGTTTTTGCTGGATACAAAAGAAAACAAAAAGATTTTAAGCACCTACTAGACACCAGGCTCTTTTCTGGAGACTGGGAAAATAGCCATGAGTGGGGGAGGGGTGGGGTGAGGAAGCCCTTTCAAACTTGCCTTCTAGTGGGGTGATAATGGCTGTAATAAAATGATATTATGGGTAGGCAGCAGGGTACTTTGAAATGGAATGAGGAGGATCTCAGGGGAAGTTTTGAGTAGGTTTCTGTACCAGGTGGTAGAGAGGGCAGTCAGGGATTTAGCAGTGCAGGCCAGGCAGCGAGAACAGCAAGGGCAAAGGTCCTGGGGCAGAAATGCGCCTCGCCGAGCGGCACGGAGGCCAGGATGGCTACGGCACTGTGAGTTAGGGGAATCTGAGGAGGAGTTCTGAGAAGATAGGCGGGAAGTCTCTCTACTTCTGTCACGTGGCTTGCGCTGGTTCTGGAGCCAGCCGAGATGCCCTTTTGACTCAGGTTTGAAGGGATCGCTCTGGGTTCCGGGGGAGGAAGAGATCTGGGAAGGACCACGGTATGACTCACAAGTCAGGACATCTGCAGGTGGCAGCGTGGCCTCAGGTTAGAAGCCACTGAGGTTTTAGGCTGCACTGGAGAACGTTGGGAAATGGGTTCAAGTGTTGCGTGAAGGTGGGAAAACTTGCTCAAGAGAGCAAGGTCCCATATGACCCAGTTTCTGTGCTGACAGTTGGGATGGTGAGGGCTCCACAGCAGGAGACAGCAAGGGTGTTTTGTCTTCTTGCCTCAGCTGAGTCACTGGCTCTGCTGTTTCCTGTGTCCCCACCCCCACCCCCTACCCCTGAAGATGCCGCTAACAGTGTGACTTATAGCAGTTATGCTGCTGACCAGGATAGCCAAGGCGGGGACTGGGAAAGGAGCCTTGTGGCACTGAGGCCAGCCAGCTCCTCTGCCAGATGGTGTGTGAGCCCAGACTCCGCCCTGGGGACAGCCTGGCTGTGTCTTGGAGTTGGCATCCACCCCAGGGCTGCAGTTTTCAAAGTGACACTGGAGGAATAAATGGCCGCACAGTGTAGCCCAGTGTTTTAAATGTGATCCTGGAGCAGCGGCAGCCCTGGTAAAGTCTTAGAAGTGTAAATTCTGTAGGCCACCACACAGCCCTCTTGAATCAGAAATCGGTGAAGGGTCAGGATGAGAGAAAACTGCCTTGGAACCAGTCCTCTCAGGATGCTGTTGGAAGTTAGAATCGACTCTAAGGAGAGCAACTGAGTCAAGTCAACGGCAGAAATGTGGTGTGGACCCATAGCCAGCTCAGGAATCTTAGGATTGCCCCATTCTCCTTGAAAATACAGAAGTTCGAGAACAAATATGTGGCTTCCTGGTTTAAAGCTCAGTCAGTTTTTATTTAATTAGGCAGTGCCCTGAGCCGAAGGCTCTCTGTGGTAGAATCTCGTAGAATCCTGCTACCTGGTACAGCCACAGCCAAGTGTTGCTGGGGAAAGAGCAAAAGGCCCCCAAAATGCAGGCAGGGGGAGCTTGATTCTCTCTAAAGCAGTTGCCAGGACTTGGGGAAGTGTTTGCCTTTCTCACCTCCCTCATCTAGCTCGAAGTTGCCTGTTGTACAAGGAGGGGACTTTCTCTTCCCTCTGGGTTCTAAAGACCTCTGGATTTCCCCAGTGTGAGGGTTCTTAGAAGCAGAAGGAGTGTGACTGGAAGGAACCCTCATTTAGCAAGTGCAACGGCCTTGTCTGTATGGCCTTGGGTAACCCTCCTAGGCCGTGTAAGAACCAAACCAGATGAGTGTCCTTTAAATATCTTACCAGGGGTCTGTAATCAAGAGAGACCTGGATTCCACTCCAGAGCCCCCCACTTGGGAGCACAGCTCACCTGTGCTTTAATAGCCCAGAGAAAGAACTATATCTAATAAATGGCAGGTCTACAAATCAGAGACCAAAGGCAAACACCTTCCAAGCTGTACTGAGAAACAAATGCCCTCCTGGGTGGCAGCCAGCTTGAGGTCTCAGGTGTGGTCCCAGCTGCAGGGAAACGGGTGAGCTGAGTTCTGACTGCCACCAAAAATGCTCTTTCCCTACAGCACATTTCCATAGAATGACAACTTTTTAAAAAAATTATGTATTTGGTATCACATCTCACTACACAGCTCAGACTCCTAATGATCCTCTTGTTTCAGTCTCTCTAGCACTGGGATTATAGGTGTATACCACCGTGCCTGGAATCAGCAGATGGCTCAGCAGGCTCAGGGTGGGGCTGGCACGGCATGTGGTACCAGGGATCGAACCCAGGTCCTTGCACTTGCCAGGCAGGCACTTAGACTGCTGAGCTATCTCCCCAGCCCTAGACTGACATTTTTCAATCCCTTTAACAAGTCGGACAATCAAATGCAGGACCTGCTCAGTTTGAAAAAGTATTCTGGCTTAAAAGCCGTCTTTAATGACTAATTTTACACATAAAGCTACGAATATCTGTCCCAAAAGAATACGAAGGGGGAGGTTGTAAAATAGTTTGGAAAGCTTTGGATCACAGGAAGTATCAAGAAGAATGAAGTCTTATTCACTCTGATCTTCTGGTAACTCAGTGCTTGGTGGGGCTGCCTTGGGTGTTCCTGCAGGTACCCCGCGTGTTCATCGGTAAAGACTGCATAGGCGGCTGCAGTGATTTGGTGGCATTGCAGCAAAATGGGGAGCTGATGGTCCGACTGAAGCAGATCGGCGCTCTACAGTGACTCCAGGTGGGTGTTGGGGAGACTCAAACTACACTGGGGGAGGGAAAGCGATTTGGGGGTGATCTGAGCAACTTTGACCTCAGTAATCTCCGAATTTCCCATTTTACAAAAAACGGATTATGCTAATGGGAGACACCAATACTCGGCCCTGTGTAACCAATCTTGGTGAGCGCTTCTCCTGAGCAGACACCGCGCTAAAATACAGATGCACCTAAGGGAGCTTGCAGCTCACGTTCTGGGTTCTTCCCCCGCCCCCTGTATTTTAGGGAAGGGTCTACAGGGTGTTCATGGTCTCACCACTAGATCAGACTCGTAGTGATACACCCGTTTACAGCCTCCCAAGAGCTGGGATTACAGGCGCGCGCCACCACGCCCAGTCTCAATTGCCCTCTCAGTGCACCCTGGGGGTGGGGCCAGCACAGCAGGCTCAGGGATTTACAGGCCCTGCACCTGTTTGCAAGTGCTTTAATCCATTGAGCTATTTGGCTGGCCCATGTTCTGGGTTCTGGAGAGGCAGCCAGCTCCCAAATTGGTAGGTCATCCCTGGGGCATGCGGGACAATGCGGTGGCATGCCAGGATGCTGGCGGTGAGGTGAGCTGGTACAGGAAGGGGACCTTACCATGGAAGCTGGCTGTCAAGGCGACAGCCAAGGAGAGATAATCTAGAGTTGCTCAGACAAAGGGCACGGGTAGTCCGCACACGGGCCCTGGATAGCCACAGGTAAGGCCATCCTGGGCGCAGAAAGAAAGCAAGAGCAGGCTGAGGAACGTACAGAGAGAAAGCAGAGCTGGAGGAAAGCCGGGCAGCGCAAGAGTGCACAGAAGCAGTTTGGATCTCTTCTCCGGGCGGTGTGAAATCGAGGAATGATTTCTCTTCATTGCAGAGCTTCTAATTGGCTCCCCCAAAGCCAACCAAAGTATAATAAGATCCCTAAACTGAGGGAGACCTTTGGCTCAGTAGGAAGCCGAGGGGGTAATGAGCTACTCAGAAGCAAGGCTGCTGCTGGGGGCGGGGGAGCAACACAGTCTGCACTGCGCCAGCAGTCGTCCCTGCGGGCCATTGTGCCACCTTTGACTTCAGAGTTTGTTCAGTCAAGGGAGGAATGAGAGGCTCTTGAACCAAAATGTTCTTTGGGGGATCCATTGCTAGGATTAGTAATTCATCCCTGCGGCCTACCTTATTGGGATGGTTACACCAAACAGCCACAGAAGAGAAAAAGTGTGTGAAATAATACAACTGAGTCCTCCGCTGTGAAATACTCAAATGCCAATTTCAGGGCTTCCCACCCCAACCTGCCCCTTCTCATTGCAGCAGAACGTTGCCTGTCCGTGTTCGCCTTGTGGCCTCAACCTGATTCTAATGTACTAAGAGCCCAATTAGAGCCCTGTGGTGGTGCTTACCTGTAATCCCAGCACTCAAGAGGCTGAGGCAGGAGGCACGCAGGAATTTGATGGTAGCTTGGGCTACATAGTGAGACTCTGTCAACAAACAACAACAACAAAACAAATATAAACAAAAAAAAATTAGAGGCTCCAGATGTAATTGGGAGCACGTTTAGGATAGCTTAAGAATGGGAAGGGAAGGGGGAGACGTCTCCCCAGCTGCCCATATTTTGGCACGGGCCTTAGAGCCCTCTGGCCTCAACGCTTTCCTTCTCAGCATTGTCCTCATCCTTCAACTTCTGTGATACCCCAGTAGGGCAGCACCTTCACCCCAAGGCCACCTGTGGCAAAGTGTGTTCAGACAGCAAGACCACATTTTGGAGATGAGGGGGAAATGACCCAGGAATCTGTCTTGCAAGCAGATCCAATTCTGTTCTTTCCTAGCAGAACAGACCCTGCGCTGCTGTGCCCCCTGGAGATCTCGATGACATCGAAAAGGATGACCGTACTTCCTGGTGATGGGATTTTGAACAAAACCAGCTTTTTTTCTTCTTTTTTGGCCTCAGAATTAAAAAGACCAATTTGCCCCTCATCATGGGGCCAAGATGGTTGATGGACTCTTGTGAGTTTCTTCTGAGTTGGTGCATGGGTTCCAGGAGAACAGGTGTTCTGGCATCGAAGTCACTCACTGATGTGGAAGCTGTTCTTCCTCTTCAGCACATTTCTAATGCAATGTTCTGAATATCAGCACCTCCCGCTCTAAGGCAGTGTTTCACAACCACGTGTAGCCAGATACGTGCTTGCGCACATATGTGCACGCATGCCCACAAGGGATCTATAGCGGCTACTGCCCATCCGCCTAAATTGTTCTGCTGAGCCTGACTCTGGGAGATGAAATCAAAGGATATTTTGGGTATGTTTGTTGGCAAACCACACATGCCTGCCCACTGTTCCTTCCCCTCTTTGAGAGTCTGCTCAGAAGTCATCTTAAGTGTTCCCGATTCGGAGGGGGTGGTGTTTAAGGACCCCAGGTGAAAATCTGTACAGAAAAATTAAGTCTTGTCCCATGGGTGCTCTGGGGCCACGTGGGTGGGGGTTGGGGCCAATTGTACAGATGCCTGGCAATACTGTTATGTACGAAAGCAGTGTATTAATGCTTCAGGTTACCAGAAATATTAAAACATGAGCTTTAAAACGGTATCATGAAAAACTTGCAGCCTCTCCCCCCCATATATCTGAGAAAGAAGCTAAATTTGGGAAACACAATCCTAAATGATTCCTTTTATGGCTCACACACTTTAAAAATGTAAGAATGCCCTGCCATGAAGTTTAACCGTGTGTTGTAGAATTAACAGATTAATTTCCCTCTGTGGGCTCTGGTGAGGACAGTTAATGTTTTTTTCTAATCAGTAGCTATAGATGACTTTTGTGACTTGTATCCAGTTTTGTTCTACATTCTCGAGACTTTAAGGGATAATGTTAACGAGAAATGCACTGCCTTAAGGTTTTGTTCGTGTCTCTGTCCCTACCATTATAATTAAAAAATTGTGGTGTCATCCCTGTTTAAATGGTTGTTCTAATTTTTAAATTTCCTACGACAAATAGTTTAAATATGTCAGCACTGGCTTACTTCCTGATGTTTGGGGTTCATCAATCATCTTTTGCATCTTCCATGACAGTTTTTCCATTATCCATGCAATAGCTTTATATTTCTGGGGGTTTCCCCTCATGGGTCCTGGCCACTTGCTCCAGCCAAGACTGCTGTAGACGACAGGTTGGATCCAGCAGGTGGGGCACGGCTGGGCAGGACCCTTCCCCTGAGCTTTCTTCCGCACTTCCGGCCCTGGCTCCTTGTCTCTCACACTTCTGCTCCTGGTTTCTCCTCCTGGTGCCCCCTTCCTCCTTGCTCTATGTTTGCATCCTTCTGCTTCACAGCCTGCTTTACAGTCTCTCTACCTCCATTAACTTCCCTCTCCTGTTCCTGCCTTTGCTCCTCCCATAATCCAGAAACACTGGATGCTTAGAAACCTCACAACTCTGAGCAGTTACAGTATATCAGTCATGGGAATGGGTCTCTTGCCAGATTCAGAAAAACCCAAAGGTAAGAAGCTAGAAGTAGCCATCCTTGTAAACCTAGCATCCAGCACAATTCCATTTTATTAAGGCAAGACATTACGTATCATTCAAAGAGCTGAGCAGGGGGAAACTACCCGCTCGGGCCCCACTCCTGTCCCTCTCTCGGGATAGGAGCTTTCTTTCTCTCAATAAATATATTCTGCTTTAAAAAAAAAAAAAAAAAAAAAAGCTGAGCAGTACTAAAAGCCCTGCCTGGTTCACTCATTGTAAACCTTGTCATACACTTATAATTGCATAAGTGCTTATGGCTATTTAAAAACACTATAGAGTGTAGGAGATATGCAAAGCGGGATTGTGCTGTGCACGTGTACTTGTCTATGTCTATCTGCTAGGTCAGAAGTAAAACACATGGAGGATGTTTCTAGGCTCTTGGTAAGGTGTCTTAGGGAACCACATGGCCCTTGATGGTTTGCTTCCTCCCTCCTCACAGGTGACCTTTAGCTCGCTTCTCTTGAATCAATTCTGATACTTCTCCCTGTAGTTTTATTCCCCATACTATTCCATAGTAGCACATTTTCCTTTTGGGTAGCAGTAGCAAATACCAACCCAGCTGCGTAAGGAAACAGCCCTGTGACTGAGGTTGGAGTAGCATCACAAGAGAAGCTGAGGACCAGCTTTGAGTCCTATGCTTGTTCAGCCTCCCTGGGAGTTTACCAGAGCCACCTCTGAGGAAGCCAGAGAGGTCCCAAGGGAGTCTTGGTGACGTAGGTCCAGGTGACCCCAGAGACATGGTCAGTGGGAATGGGCAGCTCTGCTCTCAGAAGCAGGTCAGAGCCCACTACTCAGCCGGGCAGGTGTGTGGCATGAGAACAGAACCATCCGTAGCACAAGGTATGCTAAGGACAAACAGGAGTCTGTGTTGGCTTATCAGGGCCTTCTGTCCTCAAATTAAAAAAAAAAAAAATCTGGGCCACAGCTCGGTGGTAGAGCACTTACCTAGCATACACCAGGCCCTGGGATCAATCCCCAGCATGGCCAAATTGAAAAGCCAAGTATAACAGTTGTGCCATGTGGAGATTGCACCGCTCCAGCTGGACCAGCTGCTCCACCACATGGCCTCCATTTCTCTTCACCGCCATGCTTGAGATCTGTCTCTCTTCTGCTTCTGTGTCCTGTGACCCACACAGTTGGGACACAAGGGAAGCTACTGTAACAAAGGCATGAACTCCTGGTGGAAGCCTGTTTCTCTCTCTCAGAGCAGCCCAGAGCAGGCACCTGGCCATGGCTTCCTGAGCACCCGTGGTCTGGGCACTTACATGCCTCGCTTCCACACGAGCCCTGCAGTAGCAGGCTTTCCTGTGATGGGGACGTAAGGCCCACAGCACAGCTTATTTTGGCTCATGCCTGCAGAAGCTTCAGTCCGGGGTCTGCTGACTCCAGGACAGATTGGGCCTGGTGGAAGCATACTGTGGAGGAGAGCTCTGCAATCCATGGTAGTCAGGAGGCAGAGAAGGGAGAAACTGGGGAGTAGCACCCTCAACCAGGTCATGACCCGTGTGAGCCACCTACTCTGTGCAGGCCCAAGCCCCAGGACCTCATTTAGCTGGGACCTCAGCGATGGACTTGCCTGCTCATGAGTATGGAACTCCACAGCCACCTGCCTCGTAAGCCCAGGAGACTTCTGGGGAGCACTTAGGACCCAAACCGTAGCATGTTCTATAGGCGGCGCTTGGTCTGGCCCAGCTGGCTGCAGGAGGGGCTGAGCCAAAGGGGCCCAGGCTGGGAGGCCTCTGGCCTCTACACCAAAGTGCCTTTAGGTGGGTCTATAGCGTAAGAAAAAAAAAAAAAGGAATGCGTGTGGTAAGAAAGCTAGCATTTTGGGTCTTTCTCTTTTACATGCTCCCCACCCCCACCCCAACCAACCCCCCCACCCACCCCCACGCTCCTACTTTCTGCTTTACACTTGCAATCCTTCCTCCAGTATCTGGAGATCTGAATGCACACATGTGATCATGAAGAGCTCAGCCCAGCGCAGTGGCGGTGCCTATCATGAGAGCTACTGAGGAAGCTGAGGCAGGAGGATTTCCAGGGGTATTCCCAGGTGTGAGAAGTTAGCCTGGGCAAGGAGGGAGACCTATGTCAAAGAGGAAGAGAATGAAGCAGTAAAAATTGCTGGCTGGAAGATGTTTGTGTGCCTTGATTGGGTGCCACCAAGGTTCGAGTCCCTTTTAAATGTCATTTTCTCAGCACAGGCTCCCATGTCACCTGGTCTAGAATGGAACTCCCTGCCTCCACTCTCACTTGGCACTCCCTGTCCCTTTCCTTGTTTCATTTTCCTCAATCACATTTATCACTCACCCCTGGTGCAGTTTTCTGACTTGCTTCCTCTTTCTGCGGTCAGGGATCACGCCTGTTTGCTCAGGGCTCTGTTCGCCGCATAGAGAAAGAACCCCCGAGGATCTGCTGGGTAAAGGGAGAGCCTAGAGAGTGTGTGCTCAGTCGGCGTGGACCCAGGAGATCCCTGCTGTTCCTGGATGGTGTTCTCCCGAGCCATTCATTTTCTGCTGGGTCACAGCTGGGCCTGCTTGCCAACATCCTGTCTGCCAAGCAGGGCAAAGGTACTTGGCAACTCCTGGTCAGGATGCAGGCTCGCAGGTCATGTCCTGTTGTCTGTCCTGCTTCCTGCTGAGTAATTCCGTGAGCTACACAAGGCCAGAGAGGTTTGCGGTCCAAAGAGCAGCACGGGATGGCTCAGGGGCAGGGCGGCGAGGACACTGAGAACCAAGCAGCCGCACAGAGCTCGGCTCTCTCCTTTCCCACTGTTTAAGAAGGCGAGTGATGCGCTGTCCTGCAAATCTCTCCTTCCAGGCGCTTTGTCTGTACTGTTTCCAGCCTGGTGTTCTCCCGAGCCATTCATTTTCTGCTGGGTCACAGCTGGGCCTGCTTGTCCCTGGTCTCCTGACAGCCACTCCTCCCCACACCCGGCTGTCCAGACATGATGGCCCTGCAGGAGCAGGGGCAGGAGCAGCAGCCAGCGGTGACAGAGGGGTCTGTGTGACTTGGGCCACACTGCTTAAACCCGCAGGGAGTGCAATGAGGGCAGTGTCCTGACATTTGGTTGTGAGAGAAAACCGTGCTCCCTAACTTTCTTCTCCACAATACCACTTTCCAGCCTGGAAAATGAGATATTTAGCCTGAAATTCATTTTTCACATTCATCATAGTCTTTGCTTATTAAAGTCACAGAACACGTGAAGCTGCCAGATTGAACGGTGCTCCTTCATGAAAGAGCAGGCTGGCCAGGTCCCTTTCAGTGCGAGTGATCTTTAAATATCAGTCTCTGTCTATGCAGGGACCCTATTTCCCTGGCCCAGCCAGCTGTTATGGTGCTGTGGACAGCTGAAGGGGGAACAGAGATGGGGGGACAAGGAGAGCCCATGGAGGTGCAGTGTGCTGTGCGCTGCTGGGTCTTGGGGTTTTTCTCAAGGAAGCAGCTTCCTGCCACAGGGACTGCACTCTCCAGCAGCCGAGCCCTG